TATGGTGTTGGAGGAGAATATTGAAAGTGCCATGGGCTGCCAAAAGAACCAACAGATCTGTGTTGGAAGAAGTGCAGCCAAAGTGCTCCTTGGAGGTCAGGATGGCCAAACTTCATCCATTATACTTCGGACATATTGTCAGGAGGGACCAGTCGCTGGAGAAGGATATCATGTGTGGTAAGGTGGAGGGTCAGAGAAGAGAGCAAGACCCTCAGAAAGATGGATTGGCAAAGTGGCAGCATCAATGGGCTCAAGCGTTGCAACAATTTTGAGGTTGGTCCAGGACTGGGCAGTGTTTTGTTTTGTTGTACATATGGTGTCTATGAGTTGGTACTGACTCCGTGGCACCTAACAACAACAACTGCAAGTACCCATGGCACCTAACAACAACAACTGCAAGTACATCAAATACTTTGTAATTCTGTGTCCCTATTGCTGAATAAAATAAATCAAGTTGAAGACATACTTGCAAACATCACCGTTTTTTAATTTCTTCCATCTTTCATACAATTTATTTGCCAGTTCGAAATCCGCATCCCACGTAGATCGATCAAGAGAAAGGCTCCTTTGCCAATTAGGGATTTCTGAAAGTTAAATGAAATGCAATACTTAAATTTTCAGAAAATACAATTCACTTGGTGAATAAAGCCAAGGACTGGCTATAAAACTTTTCAAGCTGAAAGGACCATAGGATGAATAAATGCTCCCTAATTCTCTAACTGCTTTATACTAAAAGCTCCTAGGACTCAATGGTAAATGATATACCAAATCAAACAAACATGTATAAAACAAAACTAAATCGAATCATGGAAAGGTAACAACATAAAAGACACATGGCTCATGGATACAGTATGAAACAAGATTATTCTTGAAACATTTGAACAACTTTAAATCTAAAAGGCAAAAGCACCTCCATGTAAACAGTCAGCATTGCCTGCATCTTTCAGGTTACTAATGAAGGACTGATGGACAAACAGGAATTATCAACAGAGGGCAGAGATCAGAAGCTGAACCTACATAAGTGGTCTGTTTACAAACTATTCACCTTACCCTCTCTACTTATCTACTGTGTTCTGTCTACTCTAAAGAGGGTATTAGAAAAAAAAAAAGGAATCTTTAAAAATAATCTCCGTACTTTCAAGCTTTCCTCAGATAAAATATTTTAATATATCAAAAGACAGGGAAGAAATTTTTACAAACCCACACCTAGAAAGAACTAGTTCTTCAACCCCAAGGCCTCCAGTCTCATACAACTATTAGCCCCTCGATCCTAAGATGTTTATTATCCTGTAATTCTTGTAGCTCAACTCCAAAGCCAATTCCAAATTATTTTTCCTATTTTCTAGTTAGCTCTTTCTTTTATAAAAGGAATCAAAGCCTCCAATTTTCTTGGCAAAAACGTATTGCTCATGATAGTGAAATAAATAATGTTTATGAAAAAAAAATTATCTTACAAAAGTATAAAGCTACTAAGGAGCAAGGGGACATTATTTTAGAAGTACCTCAGATGATTTTGGAGGATTCTTAACAATTTCATGTCATTCTGCTAATGATCATGTTCTCTAAGAATAGAATATGATGCAATTACATTTATAGAGCTAATTATTCCATCTACAAATGCTAAATTTTCCTCACTACTTCCCTCCCCCAACTACAGCTCTACAGAGAGCCTAAGGATAAAATACTTACCTGTTTTTGACTTTCCCATGAAATAATGCATGCCACAATGTGCTATCACTTCAAAACCCAGACTCCCTTCCTAGATTGAAAAGTAATATATGAATAACTTAAAACACAGCACTCAACATAAAAATCCTAGTGCACTAAACCGTGAAGCCCACATTGGCCTCCATCTCAGCAGACCCCCTTTAACTAGGAGCCAAACAATTAGAAAGTATCATTTTCCTAGTTTCCTTCATACTTGGATGAAAGATTTAAATTATCTCTCATAGAAAAGATGGCTAATTAGGACTCTATAATACGAATCTGGCTGCTAATCTCACGGTCAGCAGTTCGAAACTACCAGCTGCTCCACGGGAGAAAGATGAGGCTTTCTACTCCCGTAAAGATTTACAGCCTCGGAAACCCTGTACAGGGTCGCTATGGGTTGAAACTGACTCGACGGCACTTAA